TCATAAGATCTGTTTTCCTGACCTCTGATCATGCACGTGGCTCTTCTCTGGATTCTCTCAAGTTTCTCCACATCCTTTTTGAATTGTGGAGCCCAAAACTGGCTGGGTTTTTCTATCATGGAAAATCATACATCCCCCTGCCCCCTTCACTTACCAGAATGCAGATCCAGCTGCGGTTGCCCTCTACCCCATCCAGTGCTTTGTAGTGCTGAGCAGCCCTGCTATGTTTGTGTCCTGCCTCTGCCCATGCTGTTGCTCATCACTCCCAACCCACAGCCCCCTGGCCCTGCTGGTACTCCTCACTCCCAACCCAAAACCTTCTGGCCTGGCTGATGCCCCTCACTCCTGACCCACTGCCCCCAGCTCCCAGTGTATGAGGAAGAGGGTGGGTGTGTGGGGAAGGAGGGCTGTGGGCACAGGCCACATGGGGAGGGAACAGATGATACATGGGGAGGAAGGGGAGCATGTTCCCCACCAATTTCTGTGTCCACAGTGGGGCACAGACCTGCTGCTGGGCCCACCCTTGTCAGGAGCTGCTTCCGCTGCCCAGCAGGTGGACCCACTGTGGGAGGGAGCACTGCACCACCATAGCCACCAGGGTGAGGTGCAGAGTTGTGCCCCCCACTGCTGCCAGGCAGGCAGGGGGTGCCTCACCTTGGTGGCCATGATGGCACGGAGCTCCATCCCATGCCAGGTCCCACCCACTGGGCTGTGGAGGTGGCTCCTGCCTGGAACTGGTCTTTCCAGTCTGCAGCCCCATACTCTGTGCCCATTTTGGGTGCAGAATCCAGGGAGGCACATTCCCCCCCATGCATCACCTGTGCTCTCCTTGCCCCCTGGTGCGTTGCCTGTGCCCCCACATAAACTTACCTGGAGGAAGCTGAGGCAGCTGTTCTCCACCACTGCCTGGCTGCTATGTGCATGTGTGTGCACATGAACATATGCATGTGGCGCCCCTGCATCCCACTCCCCCCTGAGCCCCAAGCCAGGTTGGAGCTAAGCTACACCCCCTCCCCCTGCACAGCTGGCTCAGGGCTGGCCCATGCCCCCCTTCTGCCCCCACCCTCCACTATAGATCTGGGCCACTCCCCCTTCCCTCCACCTGGCTAGGTTGGGGCCAGCCCGTGGCCTTCCCCCGGCAGGGTCAGGCAACACCTCCTCCCCTGCATGGCTGGTTTAGATTTGGGCCATGCTCCATTTGCTCCTGCTCCCCATGGAGCCATGCCCCTTTCCTCCCATCCACACCCCTTCCCCTTGAGGGGCTGGCACATGCCCCCTCCCTTCCATAGTGCTGGATTGGGGTTCAGTCATTGCACCCTCCTGTCACAGAGCCAGGTTGTGGCTGTGCCAAGGCTCTTTGCCCCACAAGCTGGATCAGGGCTGAGCTGCCCCTGCCCCACTCCATGTGGCCAGATTGGGCTTCATACCACCCATCTGGGGTGCTGTATTGGGTCCACCACCACCAACCCACGGAGGGGTCACCCACTGCCTATTTGGCTCTGCTAAGGAAAATGTTTGAGCACCACTGGTCTACATCATAACCACCTATTATGGTATCTCCATAAAGCAGTAACGTCATCTAGTTATTCACAATTTTTCCTTCCTGAAATAAAGTTTTAAAATGAGATCTTTCAGTCCACCAAGCCTTATCCACCTCCACATTTTCTTCCTGCCGCCAATCCCATCATGACTATAACTCCTTCTGCAATGAAGAAATGGACTTTGGAGATGCCATAACGCATCCTGTTGTTACAAGTGGAATATTTTGGAGATGCAGAAACCAGCTTTCATACACTGTTTCTATATAAAAGCCCAAAATGACTATTTCAGAATGAGACTAGATTATTGTAATCTAAAGATAATTTCATTCTCTCTCAGTATTTTATAAGAATTAATAGAGGAAAACTTTCTTACAGGGAATTAGAGAGGATGGGTATGCGGATCCTGCCATGGCTGCTCAGGATGCAACGGTAACTACAACCAGCTAGCAACTCCTCCAACATGAAATAAAATAAAGGCTTTTTTAAAAGTCTTGTTTAATAGGCTTGTTTATAGTGGTCTGGCACTAATAATCGTTTGTACCTTTTTCTACTTCTGATATATTAGGTCCTTTGGGATGCATGTCAGCAAAAGACAGGGGAACACAAAAACGTGCTACAAATGATCCTGTGCAACAAGAGTTACCAACAGCTGTGGATGAGTAATTATCATCATTTATGAATCCAACTATTGAGCTATTTGAGTATATGATGAAAAGGAAAATATAGCTTTCAGGAAAAAGTGGAACAACTGAAGGCACAGAGAAGTTCCATATTCAGATTTAAATAGAGCCTGTAATTATTAGTACCTGTAAGCCTAAGCAATTTTGTGCTCAGAAAATTTCCATTGGAATTAGCAGAAGGATTGGGTGTGTAAGGAATGCAGGAATGAGATCAGTATAGAATAGATGTAGATATGAATTCTCCATAAGGAGAGAAAAAAAAGGTGAAACTAATACTTTACCTGCCACTGCACTGAGATTGCACTCAGGAGGAAGAGGTGGCAAAGGTGCTGCTAAGCTACCTTTTCATGTCTCTCAATCCAAGGGCAGAACACAATTCCAACACAAGTGAGATTTGCTTATAAATGGTTGAAACCTTTTGACACAACATTTGTTCCATCTGTTTTGCTTAAGCTAAATTCTCTAAAATTGTATCTATTTCTGTGAAGTTTTTAACAGAAGACTGTCTAACATTCAAAGTGCCATCCTTTGTACATCCTCACACACTACTTCTCAATCTGACTTTTCCCTGCTTGAAAACTAATGTTTTTGACATATTTCTATTCATGAAAGTGTTTCACAGGTTTTAATTACATAGTGAGATAAAAAGCATCTCAGAATCTTGACAGGTGTTGCAAAACCAAATTATCTCCATCCAGCCAATACTACTCTCGATGGTTGTTTTAATGTAGAACTGGATGTTAACAACATCCAACAACAACGGTTGACAACACATGTTAACCGAAGGATTAACATGTGGTCTGCCTGTCCACCATTTCCCTAATTGCTCCAGCTGCTTTAGCAGCTGGGGTTTCCAGGATTCCCCTCTCTCCTCCTGCTTCCACTTCCTGCCTCCACCCCTGGGGTGTGGCAGCATGGTTCAAATGGGCCTGAGGTGCCTGAGTTGCCCATATGGCTGGATAGGGCCAGTGGTACCTGCGCAGCAGAAGGCAGGCAGAGTGCCTACACTGTGTGCACAGTGCAGGGAGGATGGGGCAGGAGGAGATGCCCCTATGGTATGCAGCTCCCAGCTATTCAGAAGTTGCACAGCTATTCAGAAGTTCCTGGTACAATCTATAGTGTGCTATTCCCAGCTATACCAGAGACTTGTCAGCTGCCCTTGCAGCACAGTTTCCCACCTGGTTTTACTACTTAGTGAGTACAGGATAGGCCTCAATGCCTTTTCTTTTAGATTAAGTGTTATTTTGCAGAAATAAACATAACACATGTACAAACCAATAAAATCAGTTGGTGGCAGTTTAATCATTGACCAAAGCATAGGGTGACCATAAGTCTTGGTTTGGCCACGACAGTCCTAGATTTTGGAAGCCAGTCCCAGCCAACCAGTGAAAATTAAAATAAGCATCCCAAGCACAGGGCAGAGTGGTGGAGTGGCACAAGCTGTGAAATAGGAAGCCCTAGCAGACAGCAAAATTGCCTTAAGGTTAGGGACAGACATTCAAAAAGCCTGAACCTGAATTGATTCAATCTTTGCAGGTTAGTCTAACCTGCTGAGGTTGAACCGGTTTGCAACTGCACAAACATTCTCTCTGGACTGAGGAAATTCAGACACATGCCTGCAGTGGCTCAGGCTAGAAGCCAGGAGGCACTACAGCAGCCCTCCCTTCCCTTCCATAATGCTGAGCTGAGGGGGGCATGGCCAGGCCCCAGCAGGATGCTCTGATTAGGGAGGAGCTTAAACACCTGCTCTGCCTGCACCATCACAGGCTTTTCCCCACTCACTGCTCAAGGGGCAGGAGTGTTGCTAGCACTCTGAGGCAAAGGGCGGTGTGCACCACATGCATCTGTTGATGATACTGAGCTTTTCAATCTCCTTCTCCATACTGTCTGCAAACCTGACAGACAAGGGCGCCAGCAGGGGGATGACACAGTGTTTACCAGCCCATCAGCAAAGCAAAGGCCTCTCTCATTAGTTCAAGCTCTTCTTAAACAGCTTTTTACAAGGAAGAAACAGAGGGACATCAGCAGCTGAACTGTTGATTAGCTCCAAAAAGCCCTAAGCGGACACTGTTCCATCTGCCTGTCCCAGTGAAATTCGAGATGCACACTTACAGACACCTCTCAGCATTAGCTAGCACACCACATGCCTAGGGTCCATGGGGCTGGGGGCTGTGCTGGGGGAGATGGGAGGGGATCCTTGTTTGAATGGCAGGCAGTGAAGAGAGGTTGTGGCAGGGGGAAGCAAGGCAGAACCTACTGTGCCTGCAGCCTCTGCCAGAGCTTTGGCTAGGAAGCAGAAGGGCAGGGCCAGGTCTGTTCTCTGGAGCAGACAGCCAAGCTCCGCCAAGGACTGCAAAGCATCTGGGATGCTTGAGGACTGTGGTTTAACTTAAACCAGAAAGGAGTCTGGGACAGATGTTGCATAAGCCGGTTTGACCCAAATCAGTTAAGTCTGATAGACTTTTATTAGTAAATGTTTAGGATTGGGAATCCAAAAAAGATGACAAAGCCGGTAGGGAAATACAGACTGCCCGAGCAAGGGACTAACAATCGAGGGATGGGGGTGAGGAGGGAGGGGATTCGCAATGCTGAGAGAGAAAGGAGATAGATACACACAAACCCGTTACAATGGTCTGCAATGGTGGAGGAAGTGGTTTGAAGGAAATGTCTCAGTCCATATAGTGTTTCATCGCGGGGGTCCTCTTCGGGTAGAGCAGGGTCATCCGTCCTACATTCAACCAGGTTCCCCTTCAACCAATTTCAACCATTTTGAAACTGATTTATGTGCGCTGAACATCTGTTCTGTTACATGTTTAAACCAGTTTCTGATCACTTAAACTGGTTTACATGTAATGTCTGTCCCTAGCCCATAAGAGGTTACCTTGATTAGTGGAATGACTGTTAAAAAAAGGAAGAGGATTGTTAACACCTGTGAAGTAAAGCGCACACAGTCATTAATGGGCCATTGACTCCCTTAGCTGTCTGAATACTAATACCAGAGCTACACCATGCCACCCCACCTCCACCTCTGCCTGCAGCAGAACCGCTGACTTGAGTGTGAGGGAGATGGCGGGGCAGTGTCCCAGATTTCACATTGTTCCATATGATCACCCTACCAAAGCAAAGGTTAAATAAACATATTGTTTCTTTCAAGTTTTTCAGGAGTTCCAGAATATCGCTGGACAAGACCTAATAAATGCCATCAATGAATGCTATGATGGATACTTTCAAGAACTACTGGCAGCTATAGGTAAAAATATTATCTTTATATTAATAACAACTTAAGAAAGTATACATGGTCAATTAAAATTTTGTGCTGTTTCCCCTTTTCCTGTAGTTTATTTTCATATTACATGGAACAAAAACTTTGAATATTTGGGGGACAATGAACCAACATAAAATGCTCCGTGGAAAAAGGCATATTTAAACTGAATCACAGATTCATGTTTATGTGAGACAAGATTAAAATGAACAGCACTGGGCAGGGATTGAGCAAACTCGGGTTCCACTCCTAGTTTGCCTGTTAACTTCTCACATCATCCTGTTCAAGTCCATGAATGGATAATCCTGCTTACACTGAAATCAAAGACAAAACTACTATGACTTCAGTGGTGCAGAATCAAGCCCTTAAGCTTGCTGTGCTCCATCTACACAATGAAGACGATATTTCTCTACCTTTACAAAGATGGCAACATGGCTAAATTACTAAAGCTTAAAAGACATTAATATAGGATGTTGATGAACATCTTAGGGGAAAAAAGTATGAATACATAATAGGTTTTTGGGAATGACAAATGTAATCATCTTTAAGATACCAGCCACTTATCTGTTGGTTGAACGGAGGATGAACCTGCATTGACCAGTATGCCAAAAGAAGGAAAGACAGGTCCAAGTCAGTACAGAGGCACAGTGCCTCCAACGGCTTTGGGGGCAATTTCACAGTGAGTGGAATAAGTATTGTCTGAAAAACTCTCTGAGGAAAGGCTCGTGTTTATTTCAGTAGAGATGGCAACCTGACCCACAAACTTGATTTATGTACAGCAGGAGAATTTCCACCAATGTGCATCAATTTAATTTCAATCCAGTAGTCATCCTTCAAACCACAAATACACATTTTACTCAGAATTACAGGAAAATAAACTGAATGTAATTTTAGGCCTTATGTAATTACAGTAAACTAGAAAATATGAGAATTTCAGGAAAAATTAATATTTAATCTTTTCTACCTAAATTATCTCTCTCAGTTCTTTGTGTTCGAGATAAGCCTTCCTACTTTGCTTATAGACTCCACAATGCAATCCATGTAAGTATCACTATTCCATTCTGTGTTGTAAAAAAATGAGTTTGCGCCATTTTTAAGTATTGCTTGCTTGCTTTAAAGCTTTTGGTAATTAGATAAATTTCAAAGCCAAAGTGCTTGAGCAGCAAAGTAATTTTGCTCTGCATAAAAAGAAAATGAAACCTTTAGATTCTTTTAAGAATATTTGCTTGGTAACTGCATTAGCTTTTTGAAAACTAAAAACCATCATTTTCTGCAGACTCTCTCTCCCCCTTGTGTACAAATGTCAAAGTGCACTTTATTAACAATATGATCTTATAGGAATGATCTTCTTATGTGACTTTTCTGTGTAGAGAGTTAATAAATATTACTGCTAAAATCATGGTACAAAAACTGTTACGTGGAAAAAAACTGACCAGATTTCAGTGGGACTCCATTTATATATATGCAGGCCAGGCTATTTGTGTGTGCACTTGCTAAAACATTAAAGAACCATGTAAATAAATATGTATATATGTACATGCATATACAAGTACCTGAAAATTCTTCATACAGCTCAATAGAAAAGGTTTCCTTAGCTTTTCATTGATTTGCATTGGCAAAACCAGTTTTTATCACACTATATTGTTCACAGTTTGTTTTAATTTCAAAACTGATGCCAGTGCCACAAACTGTTGTACAAAACAAGGGCTGTTTTCAAGTGAAATGTGGAATTTTCCATTTTCACCCTCAAGTTATATTTTTTGTGAAAGTGCATTAAGCTGCAAAAACATCAAGCAAAATTCATTATAATTCCATAGTAATTTCAAAATCATATGGCAAGGGATTTTGGTGAAATGATACTTACTTATACAGAATTTACAGTTATACAGTGCATTAGCCAATCACATTACATCAAATCTTTGTCAGATTTCCATTTAGAATACTTGCATGATTCCAGGAGTTTATTAAGGTTTCCAATATTTAAAACTATAGTCCCTGATGGATGTTAGAAAGATTATATTACACTCACCAAATGAAAATCAAATGCTGTAACTTGAGCTTTCTGCACTTCCCTTACTGCTTGCTTTTGGGAGATCACGCTACAGCATAACTAGTTAATTGAGAAATTTAACCTGTGAGCTTTAAATAGCCCAAAGTCAGTAGTGAGCCTCCGAAGACCTTGGATTTTTGATTATTGTAACTACCCACTAGATGTCACCATTCCTCCATGCAACTGTACTTTGAATTGTATGAATCTAGGAAACGGAACATCTCAAGTGATTTGCAGTTGACAATACAATGCTCAGTAGATGACAACTGTTTGGTTACTCACATGAAAGAGTAGTGAGCTCAGCTTAATTTTGAGTGGATGGTTTCTACATAAAAATCACAATCCCACCAGCATTCTTGGGGGCAGCGTCAACAAAACAGACTAATGACTGAGGCCCTGATTCAGCTAAACACTTAAGCACATATTTAAAGAAAGTAAATGCATCTGCCTAGTGATTATTAACTCTAAAAAAAGAGAAGTAGAAGCATAGGTTTATAGAAAAGTGGGGCTGTTCAGGACCTCTGAAGGTCATTTAGTCCAACTGCCCCACCAAATTATCCAAATCCATTTTCTAACTAGTTACTAAAACTACACAATCAGCCTTGTCGCACAACTTAACCTGCCACAGGTAAAGCAGGAGACAGAAAGACAGAAAAGGGATTCTCCCTCTTCTTTATGACAGCCCTTCAGATATTTTAAGACTGCTATCAAGTCCCCTCCCAAGCACCTTTTCTACATGCTGAACATGCTTAATTCCTTCATCTTCCCCTCATATGGATGGATTTTCAAGCCCTTCATCTTTGTCCCCATCTCTGGACCCTAACTTCTCCATGTTCTTTTTAAAATGTAGAGCCTAAAATTGCACCTAGTACTGCAGGAGAGGCCTAACCAGTCCCAAGCACTATCACCTCCCATGTTGTGCACCTAATGCTCCTATTTTTGGAACCCAAAACTGCATTCACCTTTTGTGCATCACACTGCAGAGGCATGTTGAGTCTGTGATCCACCAAGGCTCCTAGATTCATCCCCATAGAGATGTCATCCAACCACGTCACCCATTTTGTAGTTGGGTTTTTGTTTATTTCCCCTGAGGTGGAGTACCTTGCATTCATCAGCATTAAACTTCATCTTGCTAGCTCCAGCCCAGCTTTTCAATCTGTCAAAACCCTTTCTAAATTGTGCTCCTTCCTTCAGTGTATTCACAGTCCTTGCCAGTTTCAGATTATCTGCAAATATACTCAAAAAATCTCTAGTCCAGCCTGTATTCTAGTAGTTAGCCTGTTAGCCTTAAATTATGCAGAAGGCAGGACAGGAAGACACACTGAAGACTAACTTGTTCAGAAAGGCATAAGCTTTCATAGATGACAGTCTGCTTACAGTATCTGACAAAGTAGGTTTTACCTGTGAAAGCTGATACATTACTGAATTATATAGTCCTGCAGTAGGCAACCTATTTTAGCTATTGGCTAGAATGATCCACCTGAACTCAGAGGCAGGAAGGCAGGCAGCAAGGTAGGTGCTAGCACTTCCCCCGCGGCAGCATGGGAGAGAACCCACAGCTGGCACTTCTACCTGCAGTGGCATGGGAAAAGCAACAACAGCCAAAATCCTTATGTCTGTGGGCCAGATCTGATGGTTCCATGGGCCATATCTGGCTTGCAGGCCGTAGATTGCCAACCCCTGATTTAGTCTCTAAAGTGCCACTGTACCCTGCCTTCTTAAAAAAAAGTTTTGGCAGTGCTAAGTGGCAGTTGTTTGACCTCTGTTACACAGCAATATGAATATACTGTATGTAGCTGAGAAAGCTCACTACAATAAAGATTTAGAGACCTAATTTCTCTAGAGTATCTATCTGGTGGACCTAATTTTCTCATCTGCATATATATGAATTACATACACTCATTCAGTTAAGTTTCCTCGTGGCATTATCCTTTCTAGGAATTTGGTTTCCATAACAAAACTATCATCAGGATTCTGATTGCCAGAAGTGAAATAGATCTCTTGACTATAAGACAACGCTACAAAGAGAGATATGGAAAATCACTGTTTCATGATCTCAAAGTAAGTCTTTATTCATTATTTTGTATATATACTGTACAAAGCTTAAGAAGTGGGTTTAGCATATTGGTACCAGAGCAGCCGCAAGGATTAATTCTGAATCATATCTTGTCATTTGAGGCAAAAGCAGAAATATTATTTATAGTACGCAGCCTCACAAACTACATCAGTTTGGTGCCACAGACTACTTTCAGTAAGTAAGCAATTAAGACTGAAGAATGAACTAAATAATGTTGGGAGTGGTGTTTTTAACTATGATCATTGCCCCTGGGAATTACTAAATTTTAAACTCACTCTTATATCCCGGGACTAATTCAGTTCATCTGGCATGATAAGGGGACAAGAAGGGGACAGAACAGCCCACTGAAAATGCTTAGAATAAAGGAATTCCACTACTGACGTAGACCTTGTTGAGCTGTAAGTGCCACAAGTACATTTTCTGATGTGGGGCTGCGCCCAGAGGCAATTTGGGCAAGGAAATGGTGCTGAAGGAGCATGCTCCGTTCTACTCTTCTCATTTTGGGTTGTGAAACAACCAAGTAGCTATACTAGAATTTAAAGTAGCTTCAGGTGCCAACCAAGTCTAGAAGTCAGGTGTCCCAAAGATGATAACAATTCCCTACCTGGGCTATGTTACTTGTGTAACATAACTCATTGTACCTTAAAATATTCAGGAGCCTTTGTCACATCCACCCTAAGGCACAGAACCAATTTTACACATTATTCAAGAAATGCAAATGTGCGCACATTATATGGCTTCTCTGTATCTGCCCTTACTGTTTCACCACATCTGGGACTCCTCTATTCATGTCTTATTTTGCAAAAGACAAAGAAGACATGATTGAATTGATTGCAGCCTCACCTTAATGTACTGCTATGCAAACAGATTACTTCCTAAAGCTTCTTTTTCTCTATAAAGAAACCCCAAATGATCATATCAGTTAGTTCTACAGGGAAACAAAACAAAACAAAAAACTCTAATACAAATTACAAAATTTGATGATAGAGCCTCATCCTAGTCCTAAAAGTCAACTCATGTTTTGCCGCTAACCTCAACGGGATTAAACTGGGTTCCATGTCTGCGGGGGTTGGTGTTTTATTTCATTTGGACTTAGTTTCCTGAAAACACAATCAGCCAGACTTAGATTCCTGATAACACAATCAGCCACATTTTTTCATTGAAATTGATTTAATACCAAGAGTACCTACACTGACCTCTATTCAAACAGTTAGTCTGGATGTATCTCAATGCATCGGTGAGATCAAAACCTGGCCTAATGTTTGCATCTGTATGGCAATCATCAGAATTCTTGGCTCCCTTTCTTCAGACAATAATGAGCTTTATTGCTGAAGTTTTACAAAATAAGTCAAGATTTTTTTTCTTAAATCATGAAATATGTGGGGCCAATATCTGAAAAATTATCAGTGATTTTTGGGTGTATATTTTGAGACAGTCAAGGAACCTGACTTCATAATGTGTTAAGCAGCCAACCTCTAAACACAAGACCTCTTTCAGATGCCTAAAGTTGGGCATCCAAAAACTAAGGTATCCAAATTGCTAGCAACTTCTGGGCCAATAGAACTTCTGGACTAGAAACTTTGTAGAATGCCACAAGACTTTTGCAGATAAGGTTCTTTAAGTCACTGTTCCCTAACACTCAAAAAGTTTTCTCATGAAAAATTATGAAAAATTATCATTACATAAGCATTCTTTTCTTTGCAGAATTTTGCATCAGGACATTATGAAAAAGCTTTACTTGCCATTTGTGCTGGTGATGCTGAAGATTATTAAAGGAAGAAGGATTCAAGCAAGTTGAGCACATTTCTCTAGAAGTGTAGGTTCACTCTGTACTATATACAAGAATAGAAGAATCAATGCTCTATAATTTCTAATCTTTTCAAAAAACAAGAAAGTCTATTTTTGGTCAGTAATATATTCTTCTTTCCCTAAGCTCTGAAGAAATTGTAGTACTTTGACTAATACAAATTAATTAAAACAGTCTAATACAAATAATACCAAATAAAGCTATATACATTTATGTATATTATTTAGTCCCTTGACATCCATCCTACAGCAGTACTTAGAACACATAATCAAATACCAATAACTAGATAATACAAATAACCTGTTAAAGAGCCAGTGCACTTTAACTCTGGGGCAAAACATTATTTGTCATTTACCTTAATGGATATTATTCTCCTTCTAATTCATTTTCCTGCTCTTTTAGACTATCTTAATATCCAACTCTTATGCCCAACAATAGATGTCAAACTCACCCAAGCTCCTGGGCCAGATCTGAACCAAAGAGCTCCTCCTTACCAGCCAGATCTAGATGTAAGGAGCCTCACAGGCTGGATCTGGACCCAGAAGTTGGGTGACTGGCAGCAACAGCAGAATGGGGGATAACGAATATATCACTTAATGCCCACCCCGCCGCTT